TGTAGAAGGTTGGTCTATTCTAACATAGACCATAATTAAAATGACTATTGAATGTTTGATACATAGTTCTGGACATGCCCAAATATAAGTATCAAGTGCATACTGCACTCTTTTAAAACATTTCTAAAATCTTAGTATGAATATAAATTTAATACATCCCCAACTTCGTTTGTAATTGTTAGATAGGTGATTTTTGGGTTGGTGCAAAGATTCTTGCGATCGAGGACGATTTACCTTGTGAGGTAGAAGAAGAAGATAATTTCTTAGATGAGGTGCAATATTGTTATCATTTGTGCTTATTTCGTTTAGAATCATAATATTTAGACAGGTACGGAGATTTATTCTGTTAATTCGATTTAGGATATTCTAGGAGCAGAGGAGGGTGCATCTTCTGGAGATGATTGACAATTGTTTGGATTAGTGTGGCCTATTTAATATGTTATTACAATGTTTCTCTATGTGATGCAGTAGACATTCATGGCTTTTGCAATTAAAGACTTTTAGGAAATGGGGAAACAAGAACGCAAAAAATGAGATGAGATATTATGAATGGACAATTAATGATAAAAAAATGTTTTCATCGATTTGTCAGACACCAGAGTTGATTGCATGATAGTTGTAATGTTTTACAATTTCTGCTTTGATATAAAAAATTGGGAACATTTGATACTTTAAAATAGAAAGTTCAACAGAATAAGGGCGATTATAAGCAGACGTTTCACACTATAAAACATACATCTGACATAGAAATATATGACCCAATTATTTTGAATAACTAACTGGTAATCAATTATTACAGTTAAAATTTCATAACATATAAACAACTGTATAATTTCTTTTTTGGACTTTGCAACAGAATCTGTAAATTATCATTGACTGAAAAGGTTTGCATGTTCTGTAAATGGATTAACTTCATTGGTCGTGTGATATCCTGTAATCAGTGAAAGATGTATTTACATAAAGGAAAAAACGTTGTAATATAATAAGTCACTTCATAACGAAAAAAAAAAAACATTCAATCAACAATTATTTTGTAATGGATTAAGAGTAACCTTGTAAGAAAAAAAAAAAAAAAAAAACTGGCAATTTGGATGGGCGAAGGTGTCAGTCAAATGCAGTCCCCTGATGTTTTGCAAACTTGTCGTACTGAGTCATGATAACAGGTTTCTGATGTTTCTATTTAAAAAAAAAAAATGGAACAAATAGTTAAATCCTGTAAAAGAATTCGTAAACGTAATGTTGTAATTATGAAGATAATTAGAAGGTAAGATACCATACTGTTAAGTCAGGATGACAAAGTGAATGAATTCTTGCTGACGATTTCTCGTGAAAATGATTTGGCATGCCATTTTGTATACAACAACAACCATTACATCTGCAAGAAAACTTTGGCAAATAATAAAACATTTGTATGACACATGTCGCAAAGATAAATATAACGGAATGTGTTTTTCTATTGCAATCTAAACAACTGACTTTTCAATTCGATCAGCAAATGACAATTTGAGGCTTTCATGAAGGCCATCTATCTGACGTTATTGTCATAAGACATTAGTTTGGCTAGAATTCCCTGTAAGAAGTCAAAAGCAGAAATCATCAAAGGTGTGTCAACAGACAAAGTACACATTGATAGTATTTTTTTTAAACAGGTATGTTGGTCCCGGTAGGGTGATATAAAGTCTAGAGGAGGAAGGGGGAGAGTGAATAGACTTTATAAACAATTTCAAATAATATAATACTCGTAACTTCAAATAATGTCATCCTCATGACATTCGCCCAGAGGTATCCACAGCGTACTTAGCTCTCATGACATTCGCCCAGAGGCTATCTTCACTTCTTAACAATCTCCACCCAAGCTTGGCAAGGAATGCATTGTTCAAGTGGTCCAAACTGCGAATGCCTAGACTACCTTCATCCTTGGGGAGTGTCACCGTGCTCCGATCCACTTGACAAGGCTGCACTTCCTATGGTTCTCAGATGATCCCCAAAGGAAGCTACGGCTCGTCTTCTCAATACTTTGTAGGATGCCCTTGGGAATTGGCATGGTTTGCATTGTGTAAGTCGGATTAGCCGTGAGTACCGACTGCACTAGTGTCTGCCTTTCTGCTAGAGAAAGGGTCCTCATTTTCTAGCCCGCTAGTCTCTCCTGTACTCGGTCTAGTATATTGGAGAATGCTTCTTTCTTTAATCTGACGTGGACTCAAGGTACCTACCCAAATCTTCCACCTTCTGCATTTCTGCAATTCTGGTAACTTCATCTTGGAGGTCCAATGGCGTGTTATTAGAGAAATGGGGAAGTTCACCTTCTGCCCTGAGCTAACACAAAACCGGTTAAGACACTCCTTTATTGCCATAATCTGGTCGACCGAGGCTTCACCAATCACCAAACAAGGCCATATCATCCGCGAAAAAAGAAAAAAAAAAAAAGAGAGACACGCGGTAGACTAAAGGCCCCTACTGAAGATAGGTCGCCAAACTACGACGAGAGTTTCGTCCCTCTCTTGATAGACTGATGCCCTACCATCTCCCTAATCTCAAGTATTCATCAATAAGGTGGCTCAACCTCTCAACACAAAGCACAAATAATAGGGATAGATCGGATCCCCTTGGTGAATGCCCCTCTCCCGTTTGAACCAGTCCATGTGTTCCCCTTCCCAGGAAATAGCTAATCTTGAGGTTTCAATGCAGGCTGCCAAATTCCTAACCCATGTTTGATTGAAACCTGCGTCTTCTAACCTATCACGGACAAACTCCCAACTGAGCCTGTTGTAAGCTTTCTCCATATCCATTTTAGCCTGATTTTTAGTTAATATATTCCTTGCCGTTCATCGCAGATGCGGCTTCCCATGGTCAGTCTCCGGCGACTAAAACGCATGTACGAGATGCGTTTGGAGTATTATACGTCAGACGCATCTTGTACACGCGTCTAACCGTATACTAATACTATGCGTTGCGTTGGCCGTATACAATACCAAAGACGCAATTACCATTTGCCTCTTTGGAGACGTATAAAAAATTAAAAAAAAAAAAACTGGGTCATGGTTAAAATGCATGTCCCAAAGGAAGTTTTCCTAATTTTCTCAAAAAAAAAAAAAGCTTCATATTTACGAAATTGGGAAGCATATTTGTCACATTTCAGTCATTTTTCCTGCTAGACAGTGTTCTGAAAACTAGGGTGGGTTAGCCATGCAGCATTAAAACGAAAAAATTAAACTTACTAGACCCTTGCCTTCCTTGATGCCTTCTGATGTCCTAATCAGAAGCGACGAGTGATCGGATGATACCATGGGAAGAAGTGAAACCGTAGCTTCCGGAAATCTACCTCTCCACTCCACATTACATAATGCCCTATCAAGCCTAGCGCCTTTGAAAGACCTCTCTTCCATGTAAATTTGGGGCCAATAAAACCCTGTCGGAAACTAAGCAATTACATGTTGAAGCTTTGGAGAGAAAGAGAGAAAGGAAAAATGCAGAGTATTATTCATGAATGCATGTAGTTTGTTATCTATTCTGTTACTCTGGAACTGAACTAGAAAGGTGATATATATACACAGTAATGAGCAGATTAGTTAGTGTAAAGACTCTTGTGTCCTCTTCTTTTCTGATTGCGTATCACCATCCTCCAACACCCCCGTAGGAGCGTGTAGATTCTACATGCCCAACTTAAACACAAAAGAGTGATGTAATTCTTTTCAACCATCAAGGCTTCTCATTGAGTCCACCAAGGATGGTGGACCTCCTTATACTCCAATTCTTTTCAACCATCAAATTCTGCAATTCTGCTCTGTTAGAAAAAAACCATCAACATGAAGCATCATTTTTCATCATGAACTCAGCTCCATGAGCGCAGAAGTCCTCCACATTGAATGTCTCAGACTTGCTGCATCTTGTATCAGCCATTCCACACCACATTCTGATCCTACATCCTCATCAAAGTCATCAAAATTTCTTGAGTTCAATTCAACTGAAGCACTAGGCTCAGACTTCTGAGAAGGCCCTCTTGTTGCTTTTCCATCTAACCGATCCTTCAACAAAAGTTTGAAAGAAAATATTCTCTCCAGTTCCATTCTTCTCCGCAGTTTAGTACGCAAGCGTTTTTTCTGCTATTAATTCCTCCTGAAGATTGGAAATCTCCTGATAAGCCGATTGTGACAAGAGCTTCTGGATTTTTCTATCAATTGCTTCGTCACTTATTTCAGAAGTTAGCATCTCAATTTCCTTCTTAATTCTAGCAAGATCTTCTTTTGCAGCAACCATAACATTGCTCCCTACATAATCTGATCTATGCATCTTAATAAAGATCTGGACATTCAAAGCATGCAATTCCATAGTTCCTCCAGCATTTGTATGCTTCAAAGCTTCATTGTAATCCTGCTCATGCATGAAAATGATCCCAGCAATAAGGCGCAATATGGGATTGCTTCCAACAGCTGGATCCCCTAGCAACTCATGGAGACTTGAATCACCATTTCCTTCTTCTCGGGGCCGGAGAGGTAAATAGCGAGCAATTTGACGGCTTGGAGAGGAGTAGAGGCTGAGGCATCGATCTCACTGATGACGAGCTGGTAGCTGCCGAGGGCAATGTAGGATCTGAAGACGAGAGCGTCTCTCTCAACGACGTCGTCCGGGGAGAGATTAGAGACCTCGCTGTTGTTGATGGCGGCTTGGTATGCTCCCAAGTAGATGTTGTTTCTCAGTCCAAACAACGGGTTGGGCCCTGCAACTGCCATTGTTAATCTACTTCTCTGTCTCTCTGGTGATCGATTGGATTCAGATCGCAGATTTGAGCTTCTCAGCAACAGATAACAGTGTCTCAAGGTATTTGTTCCTTCCCTCTGCCTTGGAGTCCAAAATGTCAGGAAGAAATGCCACAAAGCAAAGAGCAGCAGAGCTACATTTTTCTTCCATAACATCCGGTAGCGCTCTCCAACCTCTCCTTCCAACTCCAATGAAATTTTATCACAACTGTTGTGTTCTTCACACATTGACGGACTATAATCGGAGAAATCCAAATCGGAACTCTCCTGGAGAACATCCGACTGAAGCTCAGAGTATGCCGACGAGTAGTCATCGAAAACCTCATCGTTTATAGACAACTTCAGCTCGATCGCACTTTCGAAAACTCCAGAACTGAACTCCACACACGAGCATTGAGACGACTCAATTTGAACGTCCTTTTTCTCAATCTCGTTCTCTTTGCTCTTTGCACGAGCACTCGACGCCACTGTGGCTGAGTCGGAGGACTGCTGGTGTTCCATCTTCTTCAGATCGGACTTTTCCAGATCTTCCTCGGATATCTTGTTACTTTGAGTGTCATCGCCCCCCCAATGCGCCTGCACTAGCTTGAAGAACCACATCAACTGATTCTTCTCAGGAAAGCTCAAACTACGGTCCTTGAAAATCGCACTGCGCGAATCAAGCACATTGGCCAAATTGTCGTCCGGACTGATCGGAATCCTCTGCGGATTGATCGGAATCGACGGAGCTCCTCCCTTCCGCTGCGGAACGGCTACAGAATTTTGCTTCTCCGAACTCAGATTCCTCTGTGGAATCGTTGCTATTGCTGACGGATTGGAGATCCAGCAACGGCATTGTTGTTACTCTGCGTAACAACGATCCTCTGCGGATTGCTAGGCGATGCGCAAACACGGTTGATCGAGTTCCTCTGCGGAACTAACTCTGGAACAACACCAGTAGGGAATCGCATGAATAGAGATTGTGCGGCTAGAGATTGTGCGATCGGAGTGGTAGCCAGCGTCTCCTGCTTCACGCCGGCGACGGTAGAGACGGCGGCGGCGGCGTAGGATCGCGGCTCTGATACCATGTCGGAAACTAAGCAATTACATGTTGAAGCTTTGGAGAGAAAGAGAGAAAGGAAAAATGCAGAGTATTATTCATGAATGCATGTAGTTTGTTATCTATTCTGTTACTCTGGAACTGAACTAGAAAGGTGATATATATACACAATAATGAGCAGATTAGTTAGTGTAAAGACTCTTGTGTCCTCTTCTTTTCTGATTGCGTATCATCATCCTCCAACAAACCCAAATCTAATAATCCTTCATGGAAAATCCTGCGCACCTAGATTGATAAAAGTTAGACAAATTATTAGTCTCATTGCTAATTATAACCGCATTGTAGTCTCCTACTGAGAGCCAAGGACCTTCAAAGTCCATGGCTTGTTGGCTCAATTCGGCGACTAAGTTCCTTCTCAAACTATGATCCGAGCTGCCTTAGACAACAGATAGCCACCACATCTCTTGGTTGGGCTCATGGACTTCTAGAAGGGCGAACTGAGGATGCGTGAAGCAAATTTTAACATTGAGGGGTGATTTCCTTGAAAAACCAACTGCTTCTATTCTCATCCATTCATCAAAGTGCAAAGTTGTGCATATTATATCTGCATGTGAACCTGAAACTCTAGGCTCTAACAAACAAAGTAAATGGGGTTTATAATCCTTTAGAAATTGCTTCAGGGTGTGGTTAAAGGCTCTTGAAGCCGCACCCTGGAAGTCCCATATCATACCAATCATGCATGGTAAACGATTGCAAGGCTCAAACGAGCCAGGGTTACCCCCTTCAACAGCACGAGGCAATGTGAGCATACCATCAACATCCATGGCATCAGAACTCCCATCCCCGGCCATGGCCTTATTTGGAGGATCATTACGGAGAGGATTGTCAAAGACTGGCCACAACAGTTGCGCCGAGGACTCCCCATTCTGAACCACCATCGTGGTAATTGGGTTGCCTTGAGGTGTCACGCCCCACTTCTAGGACATGACCCGGCCGTATCGTTACGTGAAGACCTGTAACAATACGAAGCCTAACCATACATACCTCTCAGAATCTTCATAATAACACTTGAATATACAATAATTCCACAACCCAAAATGATAAAATATAATCGACTTATTCTTCCCAAAAACTCATCAAATCCACTATTAGATATTTACAATCAAGAGTAGTATGTCCAAAATGCATCACAAGAACCAAAGCCAAGCACAATGGTCTACCAAAAATACAAAGGGTCAAAGGGAAAGTCTAAATAAACAAAAATCCATGATAAGCTCCAAAACTAGGACTAAGTCTCCAAGTTTCAAAAGTCACCTTCGAGACCCCACCACTTGTTCTCGTGCTATTTACATGTCCTTACTACTCTGAAACATGAGAAAATAAAATACAAATAATGAGCTAATGCCCAGTAAGTGATACTCCTCTCAACCCCGGATCAAGTAACCCAGAAATAATACAAAAAGCTTTAGTGTAATAACTCGATGCAAAACTCGATCTTTAAACTATATCGAAGTCATAATATACTCTCATCATACTTTACACAAGTTCACAAAACAAGAAACTTTAGCTACATGGGCATCAACAAAATTTCATAATACAATACTTTCAAAAGCGCAAACCATTCCTTAACTCATTGGCAACCTACAACCACCATTATATTCTGTGGCACATGCCATTATCGGTATAATGGTCCAAAAAGACTCGACGATTCGGAATGAGTCAGGCTCGACGATTCAGAATGAGCCGGATGGAACGTTCCAACAAATAATTCAAAAGACTCGACGATTCGGAATGAGTCAAGCTCGACGATTCGGAATGAGCAATTAGGAACGTTCCAAGCCAAACAAAACAAACAACAAAATGTAGGTTGCCTCATGAGTTTGATGAAATAATCAAAATAGTTCTTATAATCAAATAGCCCGATGTAGCAAAAATCATTTTCCTTAAAATCACATAACAAAGTACATATTTCCAAAATAGATAATAAGTTTATCAAACTAAGAAATATGCAAGGTATAAATCATTCTCAAAATAATAATTTTCTTAGTACATAATTCTTTAAAAATCATAGAATGGTTGATTAAACCAAAGTAATTTCAAAAGGATTGAAATGGTTTAGTTGGAAAGAACTTAAATTAATAAGTATGAGGTTAAGAGTTCAAGTCTCACTTTAAACAAAATCATTTTACAAGTGTAATATGTACATATGCAAAATAACCATATAAATTCCTAAGAGGTGGATTCAAACCCACATCCACTTGCCTACACAACAACACCCCTACCAACCCACCATCTCAACACACAATAACAATATTAGTACGAAATTTAACTTAACATTTACTTCCGAACATAGTTCTAACAGAACCAAAAACAATTTCAGTCCATACTTCAGAAATCATAGCTTAGCATTTTCAAACCCAAAAATATATCATAGTCCAAAATGTTTTTAACTCATACTAACCCTAAAATGGGTTTTCAAAGTAGTAGAGATTCCAAAATAGGTTATATATATGTGTTTTGCAAAATAAGGAGAGAAGAGTTAACCACTTACCTAAAACATCCAAATCTTAGCTATTTAGCTCACCCAAATACTCCTTGTCAAAATCCCTAATATTTTCAAACATCAATCTTAGGGTTCCAATGATAAACCAAACTCAAAAAGAGTGAAAATTTGAGATCAAACTCACCTAGAATACTCCCAATAACTTGAGACCGAAGCTTGAAGAAGATGGAGATCAAAGCTTCAAGGTTTTCCTTCCCCTATCTCTCTCTAGCCAATATTTTCTTTTTCTTCTTTCAAATGAAAATGTTCCTCCAAGATAAAAGGAATTCCTTAAGCTTTAAGGATAAAGAAGGGCAAGTGAGTAATTTACCCAATATCATCTTTTAATAGTTGCCCACCACCAACACCTGCAAAAAATCTGTCATGCCCACATTGGTCTTGCCACACTTGAAACAAATGAGGTGGATCCCTTTGTGACACCCAAAAAATCCACATTCAATCCATGGATTAATAGAGTAATTAATCCTATTCTATTTGAGGAATTAATTCCTAAAACCCTGATTTTTAATACTCAAGGACTAGAATTTGACTAGTCAACCTTTAAGTTGTGTTGTACCTTGCGCTTTGAAGGGAGTTCCCTTGTTCCTTACACTTTCTAAGGGTTAGTAAGGGTATCCTTGTCTTTCCACCAAGAGTTAGTATTGTAACCTAACCTAGAAGACTTCTTCATTTCATTCCCTACAATTCTTAGAAATTAGTTCTACCTTCTCTCTAGAAAAGAAGTGTAGCTTATTCTCCAAGCCAAGTTGAGACCCTTGTCGAGATTCTAAGATTTGCTTCCAAGATTCAACCTTTCACCTATTTGGGCATCTAGGAGGGTAAGATCTAAGTTCATCTTGTGTTTTTGGTTCCATCTTAGTTGTCTTTTTCTTAAAGGTAGGATCTTTATGATCTTTTGGTTTAATCTTGAAGTGGGCTTGGAAAGTAAGCCTTGTGGAGAGCTTGTTGTGGTGTAAAGTGAAGTCTTTTGGTCTTCAAGAGGTAACCCATGATCTACAAAACCTATTTTGCTTACCTATATGTGATTTCTTGGATTCTACATGTGTTTTGCTATGAAATGTGAGGGTTTATGCATTTGTCTTGTGATATTGCATATCTAGAGCTTGTGTTTAGGGTTCCTTTGTTCCATTGCTTGGCATTTTCCATGGTTCAAGTCATTTTGTTATGTTTGGTGAGATTTAGTATGTTTTGGACTTGAATTTTTGTTTGGAGAAGAAAATCCTCGAAAGGATTTGTTGTGGAACAGGAATGTTCCCGCGGGCGGAACGGCGGGCGGGGCACCACCAGCCGGCCTACCCGCGGGTACAAGGCCCTGTGGGAATGTGTTCCCGCGGGCGGAACCACGGGTGGGGCACTACCAGTGGGTCCACCCGCGGGTACACGAGTGGTGTTTGTTCGGGATTTGTTCCCCGTGATTTGTTGACTCTGTATTTGGTATTTTGGCTTCCCATTGTTCTTTTGTGGAACTATTTGAGTGTCTTCTTGATGTTTCGAAAAAGTGTCGGGATAAAAAGCTTTACCTTCCAAGTCCCCTATTTATATATTTAGGAGTCCTAATTAGGAACTAATATTATAGGCTCGCTAATTCTATTCCTTTTGGAACTAAGGATTGGGTTTAGGGGTTGGGTTTATATATGAGGGCCCATGGACTATGGTGGGCCTTTTTCCCTAATTAATCATTATGATTTATTCCTTCTCTTGGGCTATTGATTGATTAATTAAATGGTTTTAGGGGCCGTAACACGGGGTGTTACACTCTCCCCCCCTTACAAGGGGCTTCGTCCCCGAAGCCCGGTGTTATAGTCCATCCTTTCACCCCTAGACACCTCGTAGCTCGGCCTCCTGATTAGGGTTGCGGCCTTACGTTTGTCTTGGCTTGGGGTAGGCTGAACTTTTGATGGTGTCGTGATAAAGAAGTTTTCGGTTGTACCTCGGTTTCCTGCGCTGGAACTGGGTGCACCGCGAGTGCCCAAGGCGACCTCGATTGCTGCTACTCTTTGATCGAGTGCGCGTGTGGTGCGAATCAAGGATGAGAACCCTTCTTCCATGATTTGATTCTGCCGGTCGAGTTGTGCGAGTATGCGTTCGTTGACCGAACCCTCGTCTTGTCCCCTCGGGTTCCCTCCTGGCTGTGGGCGCACTGACGGGTTAGGCCCGTCTTCCTCCTCTTGTCCCTCATTTCCCTCCGTACCTCCGCAATCTTGCATGGCTCGCTTGAGCTTTTTGTTGGAGATGTCCAACCGATCAACCAATTCCCTACGTTCCTCCTCGGGTTTTTGGCAAATTTCTTCGAGGGTGAGATAGTGTCCTCCTTCGGTGTAGTAGATGTCGTTGCGGCGGAGGTTTTGGGCATTGAAAACCATACCATTGGCGGTTTTGACCTCGGTGTGGCTTAGGTCCACCCCTTTCTTTTCCATGATCCAACTTAGGATCATCCCGTAGGGTAGACTAAGCCGGTTGTTTGTTTTGCAGAACTCTATGTGCTTTAGCATGAGTGCCAGCAGGTTGAACTTGATTTTATGTTTTAGGAGATACGCAAAGGTGCACTCCAAGCTCCCCACGTCCTTGCTCTTGTTATTGGTGGGCAAGAGGCTATCGGTTATAATCATAACCAATATCTTTTGCTCCGCCGATAGCCACTTTCGGTTTGGTCGAGTGGCCGAGGTGAACCCGTCCTCTTTCCCGAGTAAGTACCCGAGATAGTCTTTGTATCCCGTAGTTTGGGTATCAATCCACCCCTTTCGGTCATAGTTAGACACACCCGTGGTGGTCAATTTCAAGAGCTTGGCCAGCCGGCCTTCGGAAAGCACAATTTCCTTGCCACGGACCTTGGTGGTAATTTCTACTTTGTCACCCCGTTTGGTGGCCACAAGGTGTTGGTAGAATTCTTTCACCAATTCGGGGTATGTGTCCCCTTTGATGGCGAGGTAAGTATCTAAAAGCCCTTGGTGTTTGAGCATGTCAACCAATTCCAGAGAGAATTGGTCGGGTTCAAGTGCTTTACCTCCGATTACGGTGTAATCGGCGTTGCTCCACTCCGGGGTGCGGATTCTGAGGGGATTCTTTGGCATCGTGATGCTCGTTTGATGGTGATGTTTGCCGGCGATTTTTTCGGCGAGGCGGTGCGGTTTTCCGGCGGGTTCTCCGGCGAGGCGGTGCGGTTTTCCGGCGAGGCGGCGGCGGAGTTTCGGCGTATTCTCTGTTTGCGAGGTCGACGCCGGTGAGGTGGGGTCCGGCTCTGGTGTGGTGGGGGGTGTGGTGGCGCTGTGGGGTCGACTGGGCAGTGGGGGCAGCGGGTCGACGGCGGGGCGTCCTTCGGGCGGTGGACGTCGATCGGCTGGAGCGGCGGCGAGGCGGTACGGCGACGGCGGTCGTCGTTCGGCCGGTGGCGGCTATCGGTGGGGGGTGGCATTCGAGTGGCTGCCGGATTTTGCTTGGGTGGGGTGGTGGTGTGCGTGAGAGGCAATGGAGGGGAGAGGTGGGAAGGAAGAAGAAGAAGAATGGTTTTTGATTTGGGGGTTTTATGGGTTTTGGGGGCTTGGAGGGGTTTAACAAGGGAGTATTCCCTTGAGGTTTCAAGAAACATTCATGGCTTAGTGGTTAGGGGCTTGGACTTGTAAATAGGAGGTCTAGGGTTCAATTCCTAATGGTGACATTAGGCATTTCTTGATAGTATGATTTTTGTCCTTTTCCTTGTTTTGTCCTTTAGTGGGGGAAGGGTTGGGTTGATAGTGTAACTTGTGCTTTACCTCCGTAGTGGAATTGAAATTCGATCAAAATCTTTATTCATAATACTTCCGAAATATCTAAGCTAAATAAGTGGTCTTTACGACACGGGGGTGATTACAAGGGGTGTGAGGGTTTATCCTAGACAGAACTCGTTTTCTGGGTTTTCTTCTGTGGGATCCGTATGGTCCTCGTCCTCCGGGATTGGGTTTCCCTCTTCCAGGTCCTCTTCGTTTCCGAGGTTGGCTTGAGTGTGGCTCATAACGAATACCTTTCCGGGAGCGCCGTAACTTCCTTGATGACCGGTGCCCCCGTGTTGGCCCACGGTGGCGAGGCGCGGTCTTTGGGGTCGAGTGCACTGGAAGGCCTTGTGCCCCTCCTCCCCGCAGTTGAAGCATCGCCAAGGGTTGCCTGCGCAATCCTTGCCCCTATGGCTTTTGTTGCATCTCGGGCAAGGGAAGCTTCTTGGATTAGCTTCGTTGTTTCCCAGGGTCGGTCTTTGGTTGGTCGGGTTGTTCGTCCTTGTGCCGGTGTCGTTTCTCGTTCTTTTCACTGGCGGTGCCCCACTTCCGGTGTTTCTTCTTCGTATTTGTTCCTGAACTCCGCGTTGGAGTAGTTGGATCCGATAGAGATTCGTGGCACTGGAGTAAGCCTCGTTGAGGGTCCGAGGTCTGCTTACCACTAGCGCCTTTCGAGCTTCGAAGTTGAGGCCCGACACGAATCTCTCTATCTTGGTTACCTCGGTGGGGACTAGCTCTGGCGCGAAGCGTGCCAGCTCGAGGAATCGTTTATGGTATTCTACGACGGTGGCCGTTCCTTGTTTTAGATGAAGGAACTCTTCGTACATGGATGCCTTCACGTGGGTTGGGTAGAATCTCTCTCGTAGTCGTGTCTTGAGGTTCTCCCAATTGAAACCCGGTTCTTGTTGATAAGTGGGTCCCTCGTGGATCCACCAGAGATCGGCCTCGTGCCCGAAGTAGAACGAGGCTATCTCTACGCGGCGTTCCTCCGGGCATTCTACTACCCCAAAAATCTTGTCAAGGGTTCGGATCCATTCTTCTAGGACCGCGGGATCCTCTTCTCCCGAAAACGTGGGTGGTCGGTGATTTGAAACTTGTCGGGCGACGTCTGAGTTTGCGTTTGATGGAGGTGGTGGGGGCCTGTTGTTGCGAAGGGCCGCGTCACTTAATGCCTGTGCGACTTGTGTCAGCTGTCGTAGGATTTGGGTCAAGGGGTCGTCTGTGGCGGGCTCTGGAGTTCTCGATTGCCTTCTGTTTGGTGCCATGCTATCGCCTTTCTGGTCAGTGTTTATAAGAACGTTAAATTAGAGTCTGACGTACTTCTTATGAAGTGATAAGTGGGGAAGGGTTTTAGAATGAGGAAGGGTAAAGTGTAGAGAAGTTATGTGTAGGTTTCACAATCTCACCGCGCGTCCTAAGATTCCTGAGTCCTATGTTCCTAGGTACCTAGAGTTCAAGCCTAATGTCCTAAAGTCCGGTCTTAAGAGTCTTTTCCTAGGGTCAAACTTAGGCTCTGATACCAACTGTAACACCCCAGATTTTTAAGACATTTTAAGCTTATATAATAGAGGTAATATCTCATTACATTCCAAGTGTATCATAAGTGTACGGGGTGCTATGCCACACTTGGGCTAGAGAACCCAGGTGCACAGGCTGTCTAACTAGTATCCATTGAAACACAATGCATAATATGGCGCGCAGGCCGAAAAGGGAAACTAATCTATTTCTACGTTCCAGTTCTAGCGCGCTCTAGTGCTCTAGTCCTCTGTGCCTGAAAGCCAAATATATCTGTTCAGCGAGGGATGCTGGTAACCCACTCCAACGCGTTGAAATACAATACATATAGAGGTATATATAGATATACGAAAACCATTTTGAGCATGAAGATATATCCTACGAACACTAGCTTTAAAACCGAGAATGACTCGACAGATAAGGCCAGACACAAGCACAGTTATAACGAGCATATGCAGCTCACAACAGATAAGGCAGATAAGGCAAGGCATGAACAATGATCATAACTCAACATGGACCATCCCCAATATAAATCCCATAGTCACATCCCCCAAGACACTCGTAATCACAACTCGTCCATGTCACAACACATAACACACTTTGTTGGCGCCACAGGACCAATCGCATGCCCATACATGAGGGTCAGCGCATATAGCTCTGACACGGCCCCGCAGCACCCTGCCCCGTATCGCAACACGGAGGGGTCGATCGCAACCGACCGATGAAACGCAGCTCATCATAGTGTTTGATCGCAACCAAACAGTGGACCGCAGCCCAAGAGAATGTCATCTGACCGCAACCAGGAAAAAGGACGAACCGCAGCTCGTATAGAAACGTTTGATCGCAACCAAACGGTGGACCGTAGCCCAAGAGTATCAATCTGACCGCAGCCAGCTTCTGAACCGCAGCTCAGGGTAACCAATCCGATCGCAACCGAATTGGGGTAACACCCACACATAACACATAGCAATCACATGCAACCCACATTGCACATTAGGAAGGGGGAGAAACGTATAACAAAACCTATGCGTGATCCATCACATACTAAGAATAGTCCTGAGGGGTTCATACTTCTACCACCTAGGTCAACGGGGTACCAATTCAACTAGCATGCAATATAATAGACTCATAAACCTACGAACGGTACCCGAAACGTCAAACTAGACATAGGCACGATAAACGGAGTCGGTCGGGGCACCACGGGGAACGGGGGAACATCAAACGGGGAAGCCGGGATCCCGGGTGGGATGAGTTTCCAGCGGGTAGCCGGTGGGTGGGGGGCCACCCGCCGGCTGCCCGCCGGAGTGTACTGTTCCGGGCAGCGGGTCGCCGGCGGGCAGCTGCCCGCCCGCCGGCTACCCGCTGCCGGGCGGTGATTCTCGGCCGTGGGTAGGTGGCGGGTCCCCTACCCCCCCACCTACCCCCCACTGACTCTTTTCACACAATTACGTCCCGGGAACCTTTGTGGAACCCGAAACCATGCTTAGACACTTTACAACGCAACTAATAATTAACACGTA